ATATGTTGTTTTTTCTGGTTTTTGGTTTTTTTTTTTTTAATCTATGGAGGTATTATGAAAGTGGACTTTCCTGGAATTACTTTTTTTTTTAACCACAGGTTTTTGATAAGAAAACCAAATCTATGTGGCTGGTTTATAAATTCTGTTCTTTTACATGTATTTTTCACAATAAAGGCAAATTATGAAAGGGCTTATCTTGCAGCAATTTGAGCATTCTATAAACAAACAATATCTCAGATGACGTTAGTCCCACTCAGCTATCACATGCAACTGATTTAAAAACTTTTGTAGCATCCCCAGGAGCCGATACATTGTATTTCACAAGACCGTATAATTTTATCCTGTTCTCTCTTGGAAATTATAGTTCCATGATATTTTTTTCTCCTTTCGATTTTCAAAACGTTAGTCAGCTCTAGTTCCCTTATGGCAACAGAATACTGTCCTTTCATACAATGTTTCTTGACCAGTCCCATGTCATGGAGTAGAGAATGCAGGACAGATGCTTCACGCCTGACATACTCAGCTGTTCCTGAGAAAAAAACTACTATGTGCGACTGGCGAGTACTGCTTGAGGCAGCATATGCTAGCTGTTAATGTGTGACCTTTTTGTCCTCAGTAACTCAACTAACTCTACTCAATTAGAAAGAAAAAAAATTAGATATGAAATTTAGGCAACTGAGTTTCTGAATATCAAGCCACTGCTTCATAAGAAATGTGTTTATCACTTCAAAACTCTAGTTCCAGATGTAAAGTGTTAATTGTACACTGACCAGTGTATAGAGAGGCCGGCAAGTAGCATGGACTGCCGGCCAGGTTATTGGAGTATGTGGCGCTGCAAGTGATTGAATTACAGTGGCTTAAGATGTTCCTGTCTCCTCAGCTGAGAGTTTTACTGCCACTGAGCTGACGTGCAGCTCGGCTGATCATACACGCCCTGCAAGACCACTAAAGAATAAGCTAAATTGTGCTATTTTAATTGCTGCTGCCACAGAATAAACTTTTTTGGATGGTGCAGCTATTTATGGTTGTCTCAGCATGAAAGAATTACGAATTTTGACTCCTTAATGAATAGTGACGGCCTTAGGAGTGAGACACATATCTGAGTCTCTTGGTTTGTCTTTCTGTTACCCAGTCATCTGTGCTGGGACACAACAAAACAGCACTTTTGCAGTAAGTCTACCTTGCTGAAACGTGGCTTCTTTGGGGCCAGTGCTGCAGAATGATCAAATAAATAAATCGTCAGGGAGGAGATACTTTATACATATACAGTACCATTAAGAGTTTACAATTGCATGTGCTATAAGTTTATTTTAAGTTCAAAATCTGTTTTCCCAGAAGACCAATCTACTCCACCTTGCATCTTTTCACTACCAGTGCTTTCATGGGAGTTAAGATGAAATCTAGTTGTTGAGATACGTAGTACAAATTCTTACTACAATTGGATGTTTGTTGAGCTATACTACTGAATAATACTTAAGTGCCTTGTAATTCCACAACTAGTTTTCCATGCATTTTATAAAATCATTCAAGGGAAGGATGAAAATATTCTAAATGTCATATTCACTACAAATGCAGGATTTATTTATCCTGGACTTGATGCCTTTCCGAAGAATTTGTTGTTTGAATATGTTTACTCTTCCGGTCTTAAAGAAAAGATGGCAGAGGTATATCAGCGTGGTTTAGTCCTTTCATTGAGGTGATATAAACAAAAAAGCAGTAATCGTATGGGTAAAACATACCAGTTCTTAAGATACTACATTTTTCAAGTTTGATGATTAAATATTCTTGTAAAAGTCAGTATGCTTTTTGTGGGTGGTTTTGGTTTTGTTTTAATAAAAAACCCTCAAATATTTTCCAAGTGATCCTGGGTATTTATTTTTATGCTGTCTTTGTATGTTTTATAATGTTCCTGCTGGACATTCCACAGGAAGACTTTACATGCAGCGTCACTTCTGTTTACAGGCAGTGTTTCCCAGAACTGTGGTCAGTCATATGGGCTTTACTATGACCTTAGTACTTCTGTTGGTGGTCATTAATGAAGTTGTGTGAAAGAGCCCAAACTGATAGGTTGCTGAGAAAAAAGAAGTAAATATCAGAGCAACGGCTGGATAACATGTAGAAAGAAGAGATAGGTCAATAGAAAGAGAGTGGAAACCCCCCTCTGAATTAGGTAGACACTCCTTTGGATGGCAATCTGAAAAAGATCATCTTGGTTTAGGACCTGGAAACAATTAAGTAATGCACGCGGTTGTTGAAGAAACCCGCTAACAGTTGTGTAACTTATGCTTGAGGACTAAGGATGCAGAGGATGCAGACTATGCAAAGAAATTTCTGTTCTGCCCCTCTGAACTTCAGACATTTGCACATTCACTTTGAAACATCTGCTGAGGTTTTTTTTTGTCCTCTTTGTGAAAGTAATTTCAGGATAGACCTCATTTTTATTTCTGACTGTTGGAGTTTAAAGAATGGACAGTTTAAAGAATGGACATGTATAATTCAGGATGATTTTGAATGTAGGTTTCCAGAAGACCTTAATCGTTCTTTTATTAAAGTTAATATTTTATGCATAAAATCACTGACAAAAAATATTTTCCTTTCTTTGTCTAAAGCTGCACAGAGTGAGGAGCGGCTGTGTGCATTTAAGGACCCATATCAGCAGGACCATGGAATCAGTGAGAGCCGAATCTCCCAGGAGAATGGCACAATCTTGTGCATGAAAGGTAGTACCTGCTATGGGCTTTGGGAAAAAACAAGAGAAGGAGACATACATCTTGTAAAACAAGGTATGTACCATTTCAGTGTAAGTGCCGTAGCTTTGCTACTCTTTTCACTTTTTTTGTGATCTAGCCAGCCGATAGGAAGATGCACAGCTGCAAAGCTAGACATTTTGTGTGTGCATTTTACAAACACATAATTTTAAACTTCCCATTTAGCAATTTTAAATGCCAACAGAAAGTTTGTTTGAAATAAATGACTTTCTAAAAGAGACCAAACAGATCAATGCACAGTTGAAGGAAAAAACACTCAAATTGCTTGTTACTTAGGATGTCCAGAGGGAGATGCCTTTCTTGAATGTCTCAGTATATGTATTTGTGTAATGATAAATTTAGAAATAAGTGTTTCGTTAAGTAAAATATATGTTAATATGATGTTTGTTTGTAAAGGAAATTGCAGCTATAGCGCAAAACTGTCACATATCACCAACTGTCAATTCAATGCTGTTCTGTGGGGAGAGGTGAAGGGTCTTGCAGTTGCTGGAAACGTGTTTTGATTACCATTCTCAGGGACTCTGCTTTTGGTTACTTGGATACAAGTTAAGGTAGTATAAAGCTGATTGAAAACTATTATTTACAAACATCCTGTGCAGATGTACTCAATGTTGTTTCATGTTTGATCTGGTAATCTACTGAAAGAAGCAGTCTGACTGCTGCTCACTTCTGCCCCCATTCCCTTCCAGGCATTTGTGCATAAATGACATTTAACTGCCATTGACCATACTTGGGAAAGAACAGTTGCTGCAGGGAGAAAGGGCCTGCATTAACCAAGAAATAAGTTGTGATCCTGTAGAAGAGTCCAGTGATGTTGACAATGAGGAAGGACAGAATTTTTAGAAATTATGCAAGAAGTGCCAAACTATAGATGCAGTCTTGTGGTGGTAGCTTTGAGGAGGGGACTAGGTCACAATTTCATCTAGACTGTGGGCCAGGGGGTGGTAATATTGTCTGTGGTATCACAGCAATGGGGAATGGCATACTTCTACTTAGGAGGCTCAAGAATTCAGGTTCTGTCATATTGATGTTGACAACTGGACACTTCTGGTGTTGGCCTTCATAGCTGCCCATATTTCTTCTCCTTGGCTGTTGTAAATTCTGAAAGAAATTCTTGAGTTTTTGGTTTACAAGGTCATAGTGAGGTCAGACAAGCAATTACGATAACTGTTTTCACCCTACTCTGCAAGATTTAATTAGGTAAGGTATGGATTTCTATAGGTGTGTTTAATTGTCCATGCAATAGAATTAATTTTATGCCTCCTTTAAAAAGAATTCTTTAATTCGCCTCTTTTTACAGGTTGCTGGTCTCATATAGGAGACCCACAAGAGTGTCACTTTGAGGAGTGTATAGTTACAACCACCCCTTCCTTGATTCAGAATGGAACATACCGCTTCTGCTGCTGTAGTACGGACTTGTGTAATGTCAACTTCACAGAAAATTTTCCACCTCCTGACCCTACTGATACAACACCTTACAGTAAGTCAGACATTTCCATCTTTGTTGTTTCATGGTTTAAATAGTTTAGAGAAAGATCCTTATTTCGTGGTACTGCAAAATGTGAAACGTGTGACCTTTCTATTTATTTGCAACAGAAATGGCAAACAGAACAGAGCTTTTCCATGTGAAGTTTATCACAGTTTCATATTCCACAGTGCTCTTCAAAGAACAAGTTAAATACTTACAAGAGAATTGTTTGTATAGGCAACTGCTGAATGCAGATTACATTTTCCAAAATGGTCAGTAATCTTGGGTGCTTTGGTATTTGGATGCCCAACTTCAGAAGCCTGTGGGGATATTCAGAAGGACTCAGACTTCTGTTAAAAACAGACCAGTAAGTTCATTAACATTACGGTACCTTTGAAAAGTCTGGCCTGTCTATTCAGTCATGGTTTACAGATAGCTTTGAGCAGTGGAACCGGTCTTATATCAGGCTGTTGAGATTCTCTCCAACAGCCTCACAGTGCTTTGAAATCCGACTTCTTTCTTTTGCATATCTCTGGTAGAGATTAACTTTGGTATAATGTTCAAAGAGTACTAGTTCAAGCAATGTGGTTTTCTTCCAGATTAGATTGTCTGTCAAGTTATTTATTATAAAATCAATATAGCATATGGGTCCAAATTAAGAGATCAGACCTCTTCACCTCCTATTACAGAAGCAAGATCTTGACTAGCACACGTACTGTTACACTGTGTTCCAAGAATTAAGAACCTTTAAAGAAGCTGAGTTAAGTAGCCTGATCTAAACATTTGGATAGCCTTTTCTAAATATAAATTGTGAAAGAGAAATTGAATAGAGGCAGGTATGTAAATGGAGGTACAACTGTTTCTGTATGTTAGGAGTTCTTTATCAATGAAAAGTGTTTTGTGAACTGAAGATGTCTTTAATTGGATAGTATTTCAGCTATAGAATGCAAAAAGAATAGTTTGTGTTTAGGAATTATATTATTTGAATTAGCTTAAACTCTAAGATAGTGAAGATACTCATGCTTTCAAAAGTAGCTGTAGGATGGAGTCTTTGTAAGCAATTTTGGTCAAAATGAGGGCTTGGCCCGCTAAAAAAAAAAGCAACCTTTTACTGGGAAAGTGCATATGGTATAAATGGCTAAAGAGAGTTGATAAGACATGGTGCCTTTTGGCTGATAAGACTATTTGTAGGACCAGTAAACAGTCACTATTTGGAATCAGTGTCTGAGCTTAGCACTGTGCAATGCTGAACAGACTCTGCTTGCCTCTGGTAATAGTCATCTGACTGAACTCCCTTAATGTGACTGGAGTTAGTGCTGTGCAGGGGATTTAGACAGGAGGGAAAAAGATGTAAAGATCATTCCTTGTCCCTTCCTAACAACCCAGAATAAAAAACCAAGGTTCCTACAAAATGACTTGTGCTCATGCTTCTCCAAGGGTAAAAATTACAAGCTGAATGAATTCAGTTATTGGGTGATAAGATTTTCAAATTATTTTTAAGTAGAATTTTTAGTACTGAAAGATCGAGCTTGACTTGCAAAGTGGAGGAAGGGGGGGGAAATGAAATTTATTACACAGTCCTTAATTCACCCAGCTGTAATTGAGTGCTGCAGCATACATTTCTACTGACTCAAACTGTTTTGTGTTAATGTGTCACCTTCCATTTTCATAATACGCAAATTTGGCTTTAGGCATAAGCATAAGCAAAGTAAGTTGCTGCCTAGCACAGTTGTTTGTCTGATTTGACTAGGTTAAGAGATGGAGATGGGCCATTCCAGCAGCAAGGATGGCCTCATTTGCCACTCTGATGTTCTGTTTGTAAAGCTCTACTATTGCTGCATCAGACAGAGATGGGACTATTCCTGGCAGTGTAAATCCTGTACACGCGCAGCACTGTGGAGGTAGACAATATTCTAGGAAGCTGGAAGGGTGAAAAAAAGAGGGAGGCTGTGGCACACAGACCCCTGCAACATTACTGACCCTCGTTCCAGGCACTGAAGTCTCTGTGGTCACTTTCCCAGCCCTCTTGTCTCCTTCTGGAACCCATTTTGGTGTTGTAAGATTTAGTTTTGCCACCTAAGCATTGAGGACAGAATTCTTGCTTTGGCAAAGTTCAGTTTTTATGGAATTGTTGGGAAGCTTTGAATTACCTGCTAGATACCATACTTGGGCACTCTTCCATCCTTTCTGTTAAAGTTGTCAGAATGCTTTAAGGACATTAGTAAACTTAGCTGCACAGGCTGTGGCAATCTACCTTTTAGATTATTAAATTGAACTGGTCACAGTCATATGGGAAATCTTCTGCAGAAGGGTATTTCAGTATAGCCCATGAACTGTAAGAGCTCTATTTCATCTGTATTTTTGATAAAAATGTTGTACATTGAATAGTTCTTGAATGACAGAAAGTAAGATATGTGGCCTCCTGTAACTGTATAATCCTGTAAATTTCAAAGCAGCTGTGACTCTTGTATGGTTAATTATGTGAAGTGTGATGAATTCAGCCAACAGTTAACTAAGTATTTGTAAATGTTTTTCTGCTGATTTCCAGTAAAATGATAGGATCATAGAATGGTTTGGTTGGAAGGGATCTTAAAGACCATCTTGTTCCAACCCCCCTGCCATGGGCAGGGACACCTTCCACCAGCCCAGTTTGCTCAAAACCCCATCCAGGCTGGCCTTGAACACTTCCAGGGAGGGAGCATCCACAACTTCTCTGGGCAACCTCTTCCACTGCCCCACCACCATCCTCACCATGAAGAATTTCTTCCTAATAGCTAATCTAAATCTTCCCTCTTCCAGTTTAAAGCCATTGCCTCTTGTCCTATCACTCCATGGCCTTGTAAAAAGTCCCTCCCCAGCTTTCTTGTAGGCCCCTTTTAGGTACTGGAAGGCTGCTCTAAGGTCTCCCTAGAGCCTTCTCTTCTCCAGGCTGAACAATCCCAACTATCTCAGCCTGTCCTCGCAGGAGAGGTGCTCCAGCCTCAGATCATCTTCGTGGCCTCCTCTGGACTCGCTCCAACAGGTCCAAGCCCTTCTTGTGTTGGGGGCCCTGGAGCTGAATGCAGACAGTGTAATAGCCTAGAATAAAAAGTTCCTGGAACAGCAAGTAGAAATTCAGCTATACTTTAAAAACTAACAGAACCTGAGAACACTACTGATGAACATAGTCAATTTAAAATTTCATTGTTAGGAAAATTGTAGGTGTTCTTTTAAAAATGTTTCCTTACAGCTATATGAAGATCAGTGGAAACAGCAGAATACTGTTAGGCTCTTGAGCTCGATTTGTCCAGAAAAGTAATGGAGGAATAAAAAAATTACTTTATATGATCTTTTGCTTGCAGTTTTTTGTATGACAATAAACAGTGGCGTTTTGCAAGATGTAGCTAGACTATAAATGATTCAAGAAGACTAAAAGTAAGTTAATTAAGATCTTAATACCTGTTAGATACAACAAAGTGTTGTTGCCATAAAATACAGCAATGCTTCTCTTAAATATTACACTTATTTTTTCTGTCATTGTTTTCTTTTAAGATGTCAAAACATGTTTATCTTGCAACCATATCTGTGCAGAATAGAAATTTTTTTTTTTTTTAGTTTATATTTGATCAGGGCATAAATATAAGAAATCTATCCTATCTTGTAACAAAAATTTTATAAAAATGAAAAATGAGATTAAGGACAAACAGGTTCTTGAAGCCTTGAATTTAATCCTTACTGCTTCTTAATGTGCAGCTGGTAATTTAAGTGTCATACATCTGAGTAGTCATAGTATCTTCTATCTTAAAGATAATCTAGGCGTATTTGAGTAGTTGTTGGTTACTAGTCCCTCCAGCTAGAATTTTGCAAATGCCGTAGGATGGTGTATAGTCTACAGCCCACAGTCTGGAGGTATTAAAAATGCAAAGATTCAGATAGCTGTTTCTTGAGGCCAGGAGAAGTAGAGATTGGAGCATCGTGTTTATTTCAGATCTGAAGATTTTCCTGTGGAGATTGGAGCTGCTGAAACGCAGAAGTTCAAAACCAACTTCTCATCCTCAGCCTAAGTTTGTGCTTTTGGGGAAAAATATACTTTCTTATGCTTTGCTAAATCACTCATGGATAGATTCACTAATCTTCTATCTTCTATTTTCATAAAAAAAAATTAAAAAAAAAAATATCCATTTTAACTTCAGCCAGTATGTGTATATACCCCTTAACCTGACCTGAAAAGGGCCAACTATGGCTTCCTGGGTAAATGTTTTGAGATGTGTGTTTACGCTATTGGCTTTGTCAAATATTTGTTTTGAGACTCGTTAAATATCTGCCTCTTACGTCTACAAAATGCTTCCTAAATTCTGAGACTATTTTGAAGACAAATTCCTTAGTTCTACAATCATTCAAAAAGGCCATTTAAATAGAATTTAAGTAGCTAAAGAGGTAAATGATCTGCCTGTCATTCATCATAGATACATTACTGTAATGAAACATTCATGTTAAAATAACATCAAGATGAAAACAACAAAGCCATTTTTAATTATTTTTTTTTTCCTCAAGGCTGCATTCCTGGCATTGCAAATAAATTAATTTTACAGCAACTGAGTGTTAGGAATATATTTTTGTATGACAGGTGATGTATTTGCATGATATATGGAAAATATCCCTGGCAGCAACAGTTGAGCATTACTGGTGCGTATTATTGCTGAAATGTAAGTTTTTCTCCTCATAGCAACAAATGGCGGCTGCAATTTTTAGAGGATTTAGGAAACATATTAAATCAGAGCACCGAGATTTGAATATAAAGAAACTGCCTCACACAGTGAAGGAAGTTGGTATTTCTTTAGAACACTGATAGACAGGTTTATCTTTCCAGTGTATCATCCTGGCCTTTCTTTGCCAGCCTTCTTGCTATATATATAAAATAAGTATATAAAAGTCTGTCTTTAAGTGCTCGCAGAATTCTGTGGAAACTTTGAGGAAAGCTACTATTAAAAAAACAAAAGTAATTATTAACATATGTGGCTGGGTTAGGTTAA